GGGGGTATCATACTCAAGTCTTAAAGAGATTCGTAACCTCAAGGACTCTTTGAATTTTGACCTAATCTGAGGAGAAGACTCATGGTATGATAAGAACTCTACAGCCTCTACGTGTCTTCATCTATAAAAGGGGCGCAGGTTATTTCATTTACACAACACACACATACAAATTCTCTCGTTACTCTGCCGCTTTTTCTTCGGATCACCACTGACTTGAGCGTCGGAGTGTTCGCGCCGGGACCACCCCTGGCGTGTTTTGCAGGTACCGGCGATCAAGGAGACGTAACCCGGTTCGAAGAGGAGCGGTCCAGCGGTCCAGGTTTGTGTGGTATAACAATAATAAATATTATTATCATTATATAATTCGACGATTATGTTGTTTTGGTTTTTTAACAAAATAAAATTGACATTTGAATGAAATAACCGAACTTCATTTTAAATATAAAAAACAGATAGTTAATCGAAGTGTAAAATTTATGACCAAAAATTTTAGTTCGGCAGGTGTCGGTCGCTATAGTTCAATCCCATAATCATTAATGTGCAATTTGTCTAATACTATAGTGCAATCTGACAGTCCAACTGAAAATAAACATAATTAATTTATTTATTCAATTCGATTAATCGAGCTGTTATCGAAACATTTTTTGTATAATAAAGTTATATTGATATATTAATAATCTTATTTATAATTTTTATATTACTTTTAGTTGAAAAAAAAACTGAGTTCGGTCGATTTCGATATCTTGTGTGCAATCTGATAGTCGTGATAACGTGCAGCGTGTTGCTCTGTAAAGTGCAACGTGTTGTTATAAAAAGTGCAACGTGTTAATGTATAAAGTGAACTGCTGTAATTTTCGTATGTTAGCACGTTTGTGTTGCTTAGTGGTCAAATGATATAATGGATATAAAATATATGTAACTCCATTTTTTATATTTATGTTGGATTGTATTTGGTGGGAGCTATTGTCCATTTTTTTAGATTTATGTTGCGCGGTATTTTTTTGGAGGAAGCTATCGACGTTAATTGTGTAGTGTTGTGATTAAGTGCACCGTGTTGTTTATAAAGTGCAATGCATTGTATTATGAAGTGCAGCGTGCTGTTTTATAAAGTGCGGCATTTGTTTTATAAAGCAACAAGTTGTATTATGAAATGCAACGTGATGTTTTATAAAGTGCGACGTATTATTAGATAAAATTCACTACTTTATATAATCTCAGATAAATTATGTGTATTAAAAAACTAGTTTTAGTAGATATAATTTTACATCCAATTAACCAAAATAAGTTAAATTTTTTTGTTATTTATTATTATAAAAGTATATTTAATATTTTTAATATATTTTTTTATATTATTTTTTTTGGTAAATTTAATGATTATTAGACCCAAATCATTCCTAAATTTTCCATGTTTATTACATTATTTAACTAATGGATATGAGTTAGTAGACATAATAGAATATAATTTATATTTGTATAACCAAAATAGATATATAAAAAATTGTGAAATTTGCAATGAGGTCCCTAGAAATCATATAATTTTCAAACACTAGCCACTCCAATTCATAATTCAGCCGGCCATATGACTTCAAATCCATGGAAAAACTCAATTTTGAGAAGCCACATCACTTCCTTTTCTTCGACATCCTTGAACCCATCAGAACTCCAGTGCTTTGTGTCCATGGCGGCTATAATCTAATTTCTTTCGATTTCACTTCCTGTTCTTCGATTTCACTGTGGATACCTTCTCGAGCAGGCCGATTTAATTTCTTTCGGCTTGTAGCACCGGCTAGGACGCCGGCGATAGCGACGGCGGATGGGCCGTTTCGAGCCGTTTCCGGAGATTAGTTGCGAACGG